TGTGTGTGCGAGTGCACACGGGTATATAATAAGGCCCCGAGAGAGAGAGAGGGACTCGCATGCACACGGGCTTTGAAAGCGAAGGAGGTGGAGAGACGCGTTTTATTAACCATCTTGCCGGAGAAGTGGTGGGGGGGGTGGAGGAAGGGGTGCATGCACGGTAATCACGGGTATAGTGTATAGAGAAAGAGGAGGAGAAAAGACGGAGTGCCCCTATGGTGTTTGTTCTTCTCGCGCTGCCGTAGTTGCTGCTCAGAGGGAATATACCTACAAACGCACGGGTATCGGGGTATATATAAGTATAATATCCTCTTCGAGGGGATGTTCCGGGGAGGGAGGGAGGGAGGGAGATTCATTACACGTATACATATAGCCTGCCGGGCAGGCCGACTAAGTCGAAAATTGAGCACTCTGTCAATGGGACTCTTTTTTTTTTTCCACGGGCAGGGGGGAGTTTTTGGCGCTATCGCAACGCGGGATCGCTACTGTGGATTATTACAACGTCGAAAGTTATCATACGGTCTGCCATTTTTCGCCGATACATTGGTAGTTGGAAAAAAAAAAAAAAAAAAAAAAACACACACACAAGAATGTAGGTATTGCGAACCGAATACGTTTTTTTTTTTTTCCTCTCCAAATGGCCAATCATCAATTATTGGGCATTATGCGCGTATTAAAAGTACGCGCGTGTGTGTCTGTGTTTACGTACACCTGTATGAAAAATAACATCTTTTGTGCAATTGCCCGTGAAACAATAATTGCAGATCTCGGGGGCACGATAAGCGAGTGCGTAATATATGTATACGTAGGGACTCGAGAGCAGAGTGAGCCCAAACGAGAGATTAAGAGGAGCAAAAGAGGTATGTAAATATGGTGAAGGGGGGTTTGGAAAGGGAAAAAAAAAAAAAAGAAAAAGGAAGAGGAGTCGGTGCCTCGAGAGTTTATATATAGAGGCCCTGCACAAGTGGTATAATCGTGATAAGAGATGCCACTCTTGCCCCCACCTGCAGATATAATGGCTATTTGTTTCTGCCCGCCGCATACTTCACCTTCCCTCTTTACTTTTCTCTCTCTCCCTCCCTCTCTCTCTCTTTTTCTCGCTTGTATATGTATATATTTATATGCACACACATGCACGTACGTGTGAGTAGGCTCGCAAGCGAGAGAGATCATCCCAAACGAGGTCTGGCAGCTCGTTTGCCGCGTCTGCCTACGTGTGCTGGCCCGCGGCCTCAAACCGCCCATCTCTCTCTTCTTCTGTCTCACCCTTTTGTTCCCTCTCTCTCTTTTTTTTCTCTCTCCTAGCTACGCTTGTCTGTATTTTCGTGTGCGTGGAATCAATTGTTTAAAGCAGGTACCCCCGATATATTTATAATACATTCAAAAAAAGATATAATATAGTCTCGTGGTGCGTGATGGGACGACACTCGACTAAGCCACATCGACAGATAATCGCAACTTAATTAACCCCCCGTTGGGCGCGCGTGTGTGTAGTGCCGTGACTAAATCCGCTCTCCCCGTGCAAGGAGCCGCTTACACGTGCCACGCGGAGGATGAGAAGAGTACGAAGGAGGCTGTAAATACATACATAAGTGTGGGCACTGCGGAGAAATTTAACATCGTGGTATATATATTTTGGTCAAAGAGACTGCAAAGGTCCACTTTTTTTTCATTAGAGTTTTTGAAAAAAATCATTATAGAAAGTATACTGACCAAATTGTACGACTGGATAGTTACATTGTGATGAGGGTGTCGACATCTACGATTAACGATGAATATTATTGGACTGCTTTGAATTATTGCGATCGAAATGGAAAGCAGATAAAAAAAAAAATCTAGCCACCTAATTCAGCCGTTTCATCAAGCTCGTGTTAGTCTTCATCACGGCAATTTTCTGCGACACCGCTGCCCTGTCACAAGTAAGAGGACTTTGCTCGTAATCGTACTTGTACGTCCGTTTTCGGAAATACGTGCTCTTTACCAACTGAACCATACGTGACCACTGACTGCGATATACATATTTCTATACACTACATAGTGCATTTCTTTTGCTAAAAAAAAAAAAATTTTTTATCTATCACTTAACGATAGCGAGAACCATTTTTTTACATTCGGATACGTGCAATGAATTTAAGAATATTACAATAATTATTATGAAATATTTTAAGTATAAAATTGTTTTGCATTGTTTTTACGGGGCAAAATATTGTTGAACACTGTGTTCCTATAGTAGGAGGAAAAATATTTTTTTTTTTTCACAGAAATACTTATAAGACTGAGTATTTATACTTTTAGCAAACAGTTTTTTTAATCATTCGTGCCCAAGTCTGAGTGCACGTTAACAAGAGAAAATCGTGTAACAGTGAAAAATTTAATCAAACAATAAAGAGTCATGGTATAGTGCAACAAAAAAAAAAAATACCCCGAGTTCTCAGAAATGGCTGTAAAATATATTTTTTTAAATGTACATTTAAACCCAGTGCAGTGCAACTCTACGCCCATGTATAAATGCGGAAACTAGGACGAAAGATGCAGATGCGACGTCCTCGGCTGCGTATAGGAAACACAAAACAGATTATTACGTCGACGAGGCAGCAGAGACAGACGCACACGATTCAAATTAATTTCATTTCCTCCGCGACAAAGACTCGGTCTGTAGCATATATATGGTCTTGTTACGAGAGTGCGATGCCTCTCTCGGGACGCGAGTATAATGTACTCACGGATACGCAGACGAGCTCGTCGTCAATGTCATTGTCATGCGATTGGAAAGCACAATTTGATTAATGAGACGACAGCCGAGTCTTTTCTTCCGCGTCTTGAATACAATGACCGTACACATTATATTTAATCATGATTAACAAGTACAATTGTCACAACGCCAAACAAAGTGAGTAGAGCATGATTTATTTTTTTTTTTTTTTTTTTTCATCTTAAACGACTGTCGATATACTTAATAATGTGTGCGCTACAATGAATTTTATTAATTTTCATTCAAGCACGCAGTGATGGTCCAAAGCCAATATATTCACGGTGTGCGTAGAGTTCAGAGGAAAATAAATAAATCATCCCAATCAGGCGTGTAAAAACAACGAGGCCCAACAAACGCCTGAGCCAATGATTTGGAGAGGGGAGCAGCACGTGGAGGCATCACCGGCAAACAAACACAATCAGCACCTGTTTGTATAATCCATCCCTTCCAAAAAAAAAAAAAAAAAAAAAAAAAAAAAAACGAGAAGAAGCTCGAACGCAAGAGGCGTGGAATTAACGCAATTAGGCGCCTCTTATGTATATACCCGCACGGGACTCCCTTTCCACCGTCCCCCCCTCGAAAAGCCAATTAGCAAAACTGTCGAGTCAGAGCCGAGCCGGCACCGCGAATCGTCATTAATCATCATTCCTGATATGTATATGTATGCCCATTGTGGGCCGCTTCTTTAGGCAAACGAGTGAATGCGGACGAGAATTTCGATTCGAATCGAACTTGAACAGCGCGACGGGTTCTGAAGCTGGTACGGGGGGAAGAAATGGTAAAAATGGCCCCTTTCGATTCGCCTTGGCGATTAAGCTCGGGCCCTCTGTGCTCTGAATCGACGGCAAATGAATTTTAATGATGCCACGTGCACGTTTGTACGCACTCGTCTGATGCGAGTTTGAAGCGAATGCGTGGTGCAGCGTCTCTCGATTTATTATCCGTTGCATTTGGACACTGCTAATGCTACACGTATGTGTTTGCAGAAGAAAAAAGAGTCACTTTACCGCAACGAGCTTCAGCCCAACGGATAGGTGTGTATATATACCGTGCGAGCTACTCACCTTTTGATTGTTTGTTTGCACTGAGCTTATTAATGTGGTACAAAGTGGTCGAGATGAGACGAGATTTTGTCGATGACAAAATACCGAAACGAGGCCTCATACCGTGGAGTCGCCTTGAAGACTCGAAGAGAAGCTTGTGCCTTCGAGGCTCAAGGGTTTGAAAAAACAATTCCGAGACCTCGAAAGTCTCCTTTCCTCGCAATCTTCGCCAAAGTCTCGTCTCGGTCTCCCATCTCGGTATCGCACGGGGCTAGAACAAAGACATTTATAAAAGGTTCTAATTTCTAAATTTGAGTGCGGCTATCAACTTGTCATACAAGACTACGACTGGTCTTCGCTTTCACATAAATAACAACATAATATAATATTATATACTTCCAACATTTTTCTGTCCTTGTAACGACTTTCCACGCAGACTTAAACATGTTTTTTTTTTTTTTTTTTCAAGCTTAGCTTCATAAAAGTATTACGGGTACTGAGCAGATATAGAATATCTTTATCCAACGATTAATGTTACGGACCTAATTTTTAATAAGCATATTTCCTCGAAATTACTTACTCCAAAGGTACATTCTGTCCACCAAAAGTTGAGAGAATAAAAAAAATAACACATGGAGCGAAATCAAGGCTGTCGTTTAGGTGAAGACAATGGCATTATGGTTAAGGGCATTACGCAGTACAGTGAAAACAAAAAACAAAGGCTTTGCGCTAAGACACAATTACATCCTACCGCTTCTTCTATTAAGTAGGGACGCACTGAGACAGTGGACGCGTTTAGAGTTTGGAAGCGCAGATCCTTGAGTACTTTTTTCGACCGGTACAAGAGCACTGCAACGGATAATCGCGTCACATGTCACAATAAACTCATGCACATTTTACTTTCGTAATGAAATTTCATTTTTTATTAGACTTTGTTTTTTATATTTCCTCAATCAGACACTTTACATATATGAGCAAAAATTTACAAAAATCTTATTTACTGTGTGCAAGTCCTATTAATGAGGGTACAAATGAGATACGAAATTCCATGGTATAAGAAGAAGAAGGCATAATTTCAAGATTTTTGACAACTCAATGCATCGTTTACCGCTCGTTATTGGGTTATTTGGTTACTATTTTGCATTGCTGGACGAATTAGGTGCGCAAAATTACATCCAGTGCGTCGTTGGCACAGCTTAGAAAAACTACGATCCCTGTCCTGTTACATTCAAATTAACTTCAGCTGAGATTGTCCCTAAGGTAATAGCATCGATATAGTGACTATCATCATTCTTCGACTCGCTATTTTTGTTCACATTATTTTCAGATGAAACATTGCAATTATTATTTGGTGCCTTTCGCCTAAAAAGGCGGCGATAAGCTTCCTGAAAGGCTGGGTTCCTCCAAGCGTAAATAACTGGGTTTATACCGCTGTTGCAAAGTGCTATAGCACTCACAATAAAATATAATTTATTATTCGTTTCATATGAACCAAATGCTGCTAGTAATTCCAGGACCATGTAAGGCAGCCAACAGATTGAAAAACATCCAAGGATTGTAAGTACCGCCTTGAAAAACAAAAAAAATTATTTGTAACATTAACAAACTTTCAGCTATGTGCAAAAACTAAAGATTCGATTTAGGTTTTAATTTTAAATACCGTATTGCTCTTCCTCTTGCTGATTTTACTTATCTGACCAACTTCTTTGGACCTCGTTCGCAATTCATTCGTGTATGCTCTTGTTGCTCTCCAAATTCGCCAGTAAGCTATGAGGAGGACCAGCCATACTATCATGACATTCGGAAGTAAAACACATTTGTCGTAATACCTGAAAATAGCATACAAATTCAGTAGTACATGTTTAAAAAATTAATAAATTATTTTTCATTCCGAAAAAACCAAAGATCGTTTGTTTACCTCACTTCAACTTTATAGTTACTGCAATTACTTTGCATGTCAGTGTTGATCCAAAAAATGGGTCCGGTTGATATTAAAGCAGTTATGCACCAAATAACAGCTATGGTAGCAGAAATAGACCACTTCGTCACATACTTTCGATGGATGATCGGATGAATAATTAAAAAGTAACGATCAACGGCAATTGCCCCAATGATGTAGAAACTCGCAGTGCAGCCGACGTGTGCGAGAACTTGACTATTTCAATCAAAACCACATAAATTTATAAAACGTACGTGAACAAATTATTTTTAATTAAATTACTAGCTTCTTCTTACAAGATAAGACAAAAACTAATTTCAATACTATACTACGGACTCGTACATATTATCTTATTTATTAAATTTTGTTTCAGTTTGAGGTGTTAATATATATATTTGTACTTACGGAACAATGCACCAAATTTTACGAGCAGAACTGGAAAAGTGACTAAGGTCTCGAGGTCTGATCATTGAACAGAGCAATAATAAGCCATTGAACAGGTCCGCAACCGCAAGATTGAAAATCAGTTGATTGGGGATGTTGCCAAATCGACGACGGCTTAGGCATTGAACAATTATAATCATCGTATTGCCCATTACTATACTCAAAAGCAACACTCCAAAAGCCAACCATTTGAGTAATTCAGTTGTACTGTTGAACATATGGAATTAACAGTAATGTAATTAGTAATAATCTGTGTTTGTTGATTTTTTTGCTGTTAATGGATTTTATTTATTACATTATTTATTTCTCTTAAGCAATATATGTATCTGGGAAAAACACCACATTTTTTAATCTATACGATCGCATTACTAAAAATCACGAGACATGCAAAAGTATCATTTTTGAATACTTAATTATCTTATGTTATATACGCATTGAAAGCAGCAAATTTAACTATTCAAACAGACAAAATATTCAGTCATGCCCTGAAACCCTAACTTTTGGTTTGAAAAAAATACTCTATTCAACAGATACAATTATTCCACAGAAAAGTTTCCAAGCGAGTACAACAAATTGTGAATAAATTGTAAAGATAGAAAATATTATGTATTAACAAATCACACGTGAATTGCAAGTACTTACTTTAAAAAGGTGTCGGTCTGATCATCCATGGCTGCGAGAAGTGGAGTACCGGGAGGGAATAAAAGTTATATGTGACCTTAACTGTTGTAGTACGTGTTGCTTATAGGCATATGAAGAACAGATAGACTGCCCATTCTAAGCAAGTAAACTGAAGGTCACGTAGAGAGAGAGAGAGAGAGAGAAAAGTTGAGGTCAGTCACCTTATCAGAAATCGTAAGTGTAGTATGGCTCGATGAATCGGAGGAATACCTCATTACTTCTTTCTTGGGATACTTACGTATGTATATATATATATACGTGGAAGGAAAAGTAGAAAGTTATTTAAAAGTTATGAAAATACTAATAAGCCTCTAGCACAGCCTACATTTAACAAAATAAAAATAATAACAATAATGAAACAAGCCACGAACAAATTGTTCAATATCTCTGAATCTCCAGGATCAGCCTCGCATGTATTATCATCGTCAGAAAGTAAAATAAAATTTTCTTGTTTTTGCTCATTTTCATTCGATGATTCACATGCTTTGTTATCACAAACAGTTTGTAAATTGATAAGTACATCTTCATAATTACTCATGCTACTTTTTTCATCGACACCACGTGTAAGCTTTACTTTTAGTGTTACTCATAGAAAATGTGCGACTTTCTCGCAACGAAATTGCCTATTTTTCACCCCACCCCCTCTCCCAGTAATGGGTGGACTTTGATGCCTCTTCCCTTCTTTCTCCCAATAAGAGTAGGGCCATTTGTAGGAGCTGGACGTATAGCACTGTAATATATAAAAAAAAAAAGCTGTAGCTGTTATTCCAGTGTAGGAAAATCTGGAAATGTATATCCGACTGTCACAAATGCGTCAAGGAGCGGTAAGAGTCGAAGTTGGAAAACGTGACGTCTCTTGGGCTGTCCGTGTTAGGTCGGTCATAGAAATTATTATTTTTGGAAAACTGTCCGCATACATGGGAACGAATGTGAGGCAGGGCAAAGATTTGTACGAAAAATTTTGCATCATTGATCTCCTGTGTCACTGGTATATTCAGTAAATATAAGATGTATAAAGCTGTGCCCCGCGCGCCTAATTCTCACGTATCGCAACAGCCCACATCGCCCCGTTTGTGTGTAGCTTACCCAGACCAGCTGGTGTACACTCACTCATGCTCGTATAACGCTAGCCTTTGCTCGCGCCTGTTCACGTATGCTCGATTTATATTAACTTTTTTTTTTTTAATTTAAAATCAAATAAAAAACAATGTATAGTCATACGGAAGGACACTATATGCACGTCATAGAGCGAGCCATCGTCGCTGACCGACTTTTGTCTATTTGCATATACATATATACGTACAATACGCAAATTGCTCCCGCGCTACTACACTGATAATTACCGTAAGAAGAGTAGAGGAGAATAGCCGGTTATTACCCAGCACTGCAGAGCCCCCGGATCGCATGACGACTCTATCGCTGCTGATACACGCCCAGCGGTAACGTTAGTACATCGATATATACCTGTACTTACCTAGAGAGTTTTAATGTACCTCCTTTTGCCTTTGGAAGGGGATCACGAAATTTCTAGCACTACTGCGTGGGTATTCGGATGACCTGCCAATTTTTTCGTACTAATCCATGTAATTCTCATTCGAGACGAGCCGAAAAGAAGAGAAGCCAACTGCGGGTACACATGGCAGCTAAGGGGGTGTGGAGGGTAATTTCTTTATGTACTTTAAGAGGTAATTGGACACTGGAAAATCGGCGCTCGCCGATGTAATTACGTTTCATGAAACAGTGGGTTAAATATACACGTATATAGTGGCCCTTTTGCATATAGCAATTTTGGGCGACTGGACGGTCCCCCGCTCGCCCCCTTGGTGTTGACGTATAAATTGCTCAATTAACCCTCGCATGTACCTGGGCGCCCTTTTTTGGCAATGGATAAATCTCGCTGTCTTTAAGGGAGACTAATGTTCATCGCAAGTTCGTGCGTGTGTGCTCAAGCGCCACGCTCGATTATGTTGTTATACGTCACGTGCTCGTATTTATGACTTTTATATTTTTTTTAATTTATTCGCGAGTGAAACTTAGTCCAGTGAGTTATAAGTTTCAGAGTTATGGCAACTGAAATTTTGTACCGTCTAGTCGTTTTTTTTTTTTTTTTTTTTTTTTTTTTTCAAGCGAGTACAACAAATTGTGAATAAATTGTAAAGATAGAAAATATTATGTATTAACAAATCACACGTGAATTGCAAGTACTTACTTTAAAAAGGNTACACTATGTACATATAGTGTGTACGTAGCAGCTCCTTTTTTTTTTTTTTTTTTTTTTTTTTTTTCCTGATGTATTACTTTAGAGGACTTACTAATGTGTAACTTTAGGTTTTCATTACAAGTGTAGAAGCCATGCTAGTTTTTTTTTCTTTACCAAATATAAAATTAGAATCATTTTTACCGTGATTTTTCTATTTTCATACAAACCAAATAGTAATAAAAACTCCGGAACCTTGAAAAATACGTATTGAAAATTATAAAAACCTTAGTTTCCGCGTCTGATTTTACGAACCTAAAAAATTACAAACCTGTATAGATTCACAGGGCACACGTGTATCATTCAATAACGAGCTCCAATGATGCTTTTACAATATTTTAATAACCATACCTGTATCCAAATTTTCTAAATTGAACGATGTGTACGTATATTCTGGAGGCTCGTCAAGTGCTCAAACGCAAAATCTGCCGTCCAAATCTCTAAATGGAAAACGAAGCCGTACACTCATGGACGTGATAGTACAGAGACCAAAGGGGTCTCGGCTCATAAATGCTCCAACGGTATACCCTACACGTGTACGTATATGCACATACAAAAGGGAGCCCATTCGAGGGGCCAATATCTCGTTACGTCGTCGCTTTGGTGACACGCACACAAATACATTGCGCGGTGTCCCGATCGCTTTCGGCCGGTCCCTCCTCGTTTGCCGAAGGGAGCGTTGACTTTTTTTCCTTCTCCTCATTTCGTTCGTATTTCCGCAACGCTCGCCTCCCTTTAAGGTTCCGCGGGGAGAGTACGAGCGCGGAGAAACGATAGGATCTCCCTTTGGCGACCAAATTGTTTTGGATCGTTGGTTAATTGGAAGCCCTCGTTTTGTCGACGCATACAAAAGGCCCACGACATCGAACCGAGTGCTCAAGCGTCACTTGCACGGTCTACGTATATATATATATATACACTCACCTCGTCGGTCAACAATATTTAATGGCTCTTTAATTTTCTCCTCGACGGTATGGTTTTATTTACGCGTATGGAAATGGAGGGTATATAGTGCACGTATATATATATATATATATATATATATTGGATACATCGATCACATCGTATCGATGCACGTTGGGACCGAGGAGGTAGTATACGCTTGGGTTTATTAAAGCGTAAAGTCGAGTTAATCGAATTTTTCGTTGTTAACGATTGCCGGACGAGGTATTAAAAAGGCGGCGATAATACTGCTGTTGGCTTCCATCGCGAGTTTCAATTAGTGTGTCGTGTGCACGTGATTGCCGGTGTATGAAATGACGTTTTGTCGCTCTCGAGATTAGTGATGAAAAATTTTTCTTGTTATTGCGATGTGAAATTGAAAAAAAAAAAAAAAAAAAAAAACCAAATCGTTTCAATGTCTTTGCATTTAATTGTGTATTGGGTGCTCGGGGATATCTCTCATTTTTTTATTATGAATGTGATATTGGTGAGAAATGTGTTTTTCCCCAAAATTAGTAGTATAAATGTGAACATGATATATTTTTAAGACTTTGTTTTCATACCAGAACCCTGATAGCCTTAAAGTTTTATTAAACAAAGGTCAAATTTTCAGCACTAAAACGACAAGACAAAAAAATAGCCAATAGCCAATGTAAGTGGATTTTTCCCACGTAATATTAGGTATTAACAATTAAAGCCCATCGTACACTTGTACAGAGTGTTGGATCTAAAAAAAAAACAGTGTTATATAAGGAAACGTTTCAAATAAATTTAAAATAAACGAAAAAAGTTAGCAATGATTGATTCTCGATTGTTCGATTGACAATTGGATGTTAGTTAAAGAAAGGCAAAAAAGTGTGAAGAAACAAAAAGAAAATGCAATGTATACTCGCTCAACATGTAAATTAACATTGCAGACGCAGAAGAGAAAAGCTCGCGTTGTCGCAAGAGACGTGTGTGTATATATATGTATATATACGTACATGAGCTTGTCGTGGGATTATCTTTCGATGCATCTCGGAGTGTTTATGTCAGGTAAGTTTGTGTGTCCAAGTGCAGAGATACACGTGCATTGTATATATATGTACGCGTACGTGGGTACAACACGAGACAAGATTCAATACTCTCTCCATGATCGAATTGGTTCTGGGTGAGGATAGGGCGATCGAATGGTATCTCTCTCTCTCTCTCGCATGTGTACGTATAGACAGCCAAGTTCGTTAGCTCCGAAATTTATCACCTCGCAGCCACGTACAACATGCCACTCTCTCGTTGATTCCATTATTTTTCGTGACCACTTGATCGGACTCCATCCAAAGATTTTAGTTATATGTTTTGTGTGCCTATATATGCTTCAAACTCAAATTTTGGTATAAATTGACGTCTCTTGTGATCACTGATAAATATATGTTCAGCACTTCTCGGTTACTCGAAAACAGATGGCACGTTCTTCATCCGTATACCTTGCTAATCAAGCATTGCTAAATCGAGAAAGCTCACGTGGAAAAATTTTTCATCCAAGTGAGATTATTTTTTCAATTACATATTTAAACATCAGATAGGACGCACGGGTCGTTAAAAGAGGACGAGAGGAAATAAAAAAAAAAAAAAAAAAATCTACGACTCATTGTATCGTTGCAGTCGTGTTTGAAACACAAAAGTTAAATTTTTGCATAAATTTAGCCACTTGTTTTCCAACAATCTTGTGAGACGTATACATACAGCTTTTTTTCTTCCCCGTTCGAGCTGTTGATATAATACTGGTGCCTTCAAACAACGAAAAAAAAAA